CGTGCAAATTTTGTTTTTAACTGCTAATTCACTTAATAGCTTTTCGAAGGCTTTTCTGAAGTTAAATTTTTTTCGAGTGACAATTTTTTTCAAAATTGTTGAATGTCCTGTTAATTTCAACTGGCAATTTTATTATGCGTTTGATTTCTTTGTTTCCTAGGTAAATTAAAAAATGGAAAATTGAAAAATGAATCCAAATTAAACCATCTTGCGCCACAACACAGAATTCTTGATTGTGCTGCTTTTTTAGGCACGGCGAAGATTTGATCGTTACGCCATTTGCCCAGATACTCGCTAGTTTGCGAAACGTACGCAATAGTCTGGTAGCTATAGCGAATATACCGCCCGATGAAAATCGTTCAAGGCCAATCCCGAAACGACCACCGCTTCATAACACTGCTCTGCCCGAAAATGTGTCGCAGTGTGCTCAGGATACGCTCGATGAGCTGGACTGGTGCTTGGACCAGCTGGAAACAATTCAGACTCATCGCTCGGTCTCCGACATGGCGTCCAATAAGGTCAGTTTGTCCAGTGGTCACTGGTAAAAGAGAAACACAGAGTTTCAGGGTTTTCCACAAAAATGGAGAATCTGTTTATTTTGCTCGGAACTCTCCGTGAAAACTTCGTTTTTCAGCGATTCTATCTCCTTCCGTGCTCGATCTATTTAAGATTCTGAGCATTGTTCTTATAGAGCTCTGTCAAAATGCATGCTTACGTATTTTTTGTACTGACTGTTATGTTAATCGTTATAGCATAATATTATCGCACACCTGCACAATACTAATAGTTTTCGATACTTCAAGCGAGACCGGTTGCTGTTTTTTTCTTTTTCATGATTTCATGTCCAAATTTTCGACCAACTCTTAATTTTGGGTACTAAGTTAAGTTAAAATTTCACAATTTCTGGGCTTTTTGGTTGAGAATGCATAGCAGTCCTCTCGCCTTCAAATCTTGCTCTTTATCGTGTCTGAAGGGTCACAGAAAACTGGTGACAATAACTGTTTCCGAACCGGAGTGAACACTTGCTTCCTTGTGTTATTAGTGGTTTTTGGATGAC